GCATCCAGTATTTTGGTCTCAAGGATCAGGGAGGACAGGGTCCCACACATTGATGTTTTGTCTACATGTGTGTCTGTGTGAGGATATCTGATCTACTGGAACTGGAGTTACAGAGAGTTGTGGGCTGCCATGTGGGTGCCAGGAATTGAACCCGGGTCCTCTGGAAGAGCAGCCAATGCTCTTAACCACTGAGCCATCTCTCCAGCCCTCAGGATGTCATTTCTAAATAAATAAATAATAAACTAATATGCTCTTATTGTAGTAAAATTTAAAAACATAGCCATACGTAAACCATTTCAATAGCACACACCAACTTCTGCATTATCTAGTAAGCCATGAATACATCTGTTCTTGCTTTGTATGTTCATGAGGGAGGCATAACCTCTCTCCATCTTTGTATAGCTCACAACAGCAGCAGAAGTACCATGTCATAAATGAATGACATTCAGTGATCTGAGGCTATCCGTTGTAGAAGCTTGTCTATAGAAACTGGAATAAAATAGAAGAGTTGGAGAAATGACCCAATGGTTAAGAACACTGGGTGCTCTTACAGAGAACCCAAGTTTGATTCCCAGCACCCACATGGTGGTTCACAACCATCTGTAACTCCATGTCTAGTGGATCTGTTACCCAGTTCTGGCTTCCTCAGGCACCAGACACACATGGTCCCCAGATATTCATGCAGGCTAAGCGTCCAAATACTTAAAGAACTTTAAAAAGGATCAAAATGGAAGCTCTCCTTGAGAGCTTCCAAAACAGAGATTTGTATGTTATGCCCAAATAACCAAATAACACCCTGGAACAGAAACTACCATTATCCAGGATCAGATAATCCGGCCTCTGAAGTGAGGCAGATGTGGTCCAGAATCTACCTCTGATCTCAGCGGCAACGTGGCCACGGGAAAGTCATTTAAACATTGTGAGACTCCAGTTCAATCGCAGCTTGGCTTTGATCACACTGGACTCATGCCGACGGAGTGATGAGAGAGCTAAAAGGCTGGTAATTGCCCTGGTGGGTGACTAACTCTGGGCTGTCTGGAACTAACCCAGTTTTAGCACTGAAAAGGCCATACCTTGATCTCAAGTCAACCTGGATAGCGAGCCACCCTATGGAAAACTCAAGTCTCGCCGTGTCGATTTTTTCTTTTTTGAAGTGTCGGGATCCAGTCGAGTCTTGCACATACTAGGTAAGCATGTTACTGCTGAACTACTCCCCTGACCCCTTCTTGGTTCTTAAAGCTTATCAATGGAGGCAAAGGAACATTTGGCTCATTTCAATGGCCTAGACAACTCACATGGCCAAGGAGACATCCGAGGCAAGGGGAAGGGGGGCATCCTCACCCTCTGGAATAGAGACCTGGAATTCATGGGTCACTGGTTCTAATGACTCTCACACTCGTTTCTCCTTCTTGCCTATTCTGGGATTATAGTATCCTCCAGGTGACATTCAGACCAGGCACGTCGATCCCCACATAAGCATTGCCATAAGACTGTCGTTCCCTGTGTTTCAGGCTGAGAGCAGTGACATGCTGGACTTTGGACACCAAATAAAGACAGATTAGCCTCCCTCAGTGATGCAATTTTATGGATTGATTAATTGATTAGTGAATCCATTTGTTAGACAAGTGTTGATTGAACCCTACTCATACCGGAGATGTGCTAAGTGAGATGACGGGACCTTTAGCACACAACACATAAATCTAAGAAGGAATGAGATGGTAATAGCTGGTAATATTAACCTTTTACTGTGCCACACACAGATCTCATTTCCTCTATTAAATTATTCTGAGGGTGGCTGGTGTTGTTCCCCCCTGCCACATCTTCTCAGCATTCACTAAAGACTAAATTTATGAGCTTAAAGTAAGAAAAACTTTACAAAGTGCTCAGACTACTAAGTTTGTGTCTCCTTAGCCCAAGAGCATTTCCAGCTGTACCTTCTGGGGCAGTTGTGGATTTGGAGAAAGAGACAGGACTTAAAACTGGAAAATATGATGCTAACACCCTTGCTGGTCCCCCACAGCTTCCCTAGACTACAAATGTGCCTTTGGTTGCTCCAGAGGAGAGTTGGGCTTCAGAAGGCCTGGGCTACAGTAGTCTTCATCACCTGGAGAACTTTAAAAAGATCTCTGTGTGGGCCTCATCTTAAACCAATTAAATCGGAATCTCTAGGGGGTGGAAAGCACAGGCACCAGTGTTTGGAAATGGTTGCTAAATAAAGTCATCCGCCAGGAGCATCATTCTCAAACTCCAACGCGCGCCAAAGTCACTCGGGTGGTGGGTAAAAGCCAGATCTCTGGGGTCCATCCCCAGAGTCTGGGAATCAGCTCTGAAGTAGGGTTTGGGAATTTGGATATTTTTTTATGGTTTCTCAGGTGGTAACAATGCCACTGGTCTGGGGACCAGAGTGTGAGGATGTTTGATCTCAGAAATGTTAACAGCTAAACAGAACAGGACTTTGGAAGGGGAGGCCTGGTGTGTTAGTCTGTCTGCCAATCAAACTAGATCATTTCAGAATCAGGACCCTCAAGCTTGTGGGGGAATTTTCTTGATTAACAATTGGAGGCGGGGCTAGCCCAGTGGGGGTGGTGCCATACCTGGGCAGGTGACCCTGGGTGTATAAGAAAGCAAGCTGAGCAGGCTATGCGAAGAAAGCCAGTAAGCCGCGTTCTTCCGTGGTCTCTGCTTCAGTCCTGTTCTGGTTTCCCTTCACGACAGGCTGTAAGCTGAAAGGCAGTGGTCCTCAACCTTCCAAATGCTGCAACCTTTTAGCAAGGTTCCTCCTAATGTGGTAATCCCCCAACTATAGTTCTACTGTTCTTGCTACTTTATAACTGTAATTTTGCTACTGTTATAAATCTTAATGTCAGCATCTGCGTTTTCTGACTGTCTTAGGTGACCTCTGTGAAAGGGTCGTTCCATGGCATCTGCTCTAAGGTGGGATCGGCCCTCCTTTCTGAGCTGATTTGCTCAGGCTGTTTATCACAGCAGTGGGAAACAAACGCGGACAGCCTGTTGTAGCTGTGATTCTCCTTGCAGAACCCAACTGCCCCGAGGGCTCAGATCCACTTGAGAGATCTGTAACGCAGAGATTTAGTGGAACAGCCAGGTAGGCGGCTGTGAAGTTTCCGTGAGGGAAGTCTCTTCAAGCCCTTCGTTCCAGAGGTGGCCACAAAAGCAACACTCAGTCTCACCAACGTAAGTTTGGCAGGCAGGGGTTGGCCTCCTCAGGAGTTCATGTTTAGCCAGGTTCCTATGAAAACCCAGAAACAGACTGAAATCTTTGGGGTGGGTCTAACACCCCACTACTTCACAGACCTGTCTACTTTATTTATCTCTCTCTATATATTTAATTTACAGACTGAAGAGATGGCTCAGAGGTTAAAAGCACTGACTGCTCTCCCACAGGATCCAGGCTGGATTCCAAGCACCCATATGGTGGCTCCCAACCCTCTGTAACTCCAGTTCCAGGGAATCTGATACCATCTTCTGGCCTCTGTGGACATCAGACATGTATGTGCAGCACAGACATACATGCAGGCTGAACACCCAAATCCATAATAAAATAATAAAAAGATCTTTTATTTGCTCATTTTTATGTGTATGGACTTTCCCACTGAGCTACATCCTCGACTACTTTTTAACTTCAAGTGCATGCAGGTGGATTAAGAATATTCCTTAGACTATAGTATCCACTTTCGTTCATTTCTTTCCTCTCTCAAGAGCCTCTCTCATTTGATCTTTATGATATCTATCATCTATCACCCATCTACCTGTCTTTCCAGCCACATTCATCTGTTCCTCTAAGCAACTGTGCTCCTGCATTTAATGTGTCTTTTGTTTGTGTGAGTTATACAACTGTAGATAATTCAGGTTGTGCCGTGTACGGTTTCTTATTTCCTTGTCCAAGGACAACAAAGGTCTATGCTTTCACCCTTACGCAAGGCTGCTGCTGCTGCTGGTTGCACTACAATGCTCCAACAACTCTCCTGCCTTTGCCTGAGAACTACTGGCCACAGCTTGATATTGAACGGACTTGGTGGCCCTTGACACTCATCGAGAGGAGCCTGCAAAAGCTAGCATATAAACTGCCCCTCTCTGTTAACTAGCACGGAATCAGCTTTTCAAAAGCCCGGCAAGATGACAGGGTAAGCTAGAAATGAATCTCAATCAGCTCCCCAAATCCCTGGTCACCCCAAAGAGTAACAAATCATGCAAATATGATGAGTGTGAGAGATAAACATACAAGCCCCTTAGCCTCTCATTTCTGAGCAGATCAGTGCTCGTGATGGTTTAAGTCATCCAAGTCGCTGCTTTGTTAAACCAGTGCAGGAAGCTTAGGCAAGGACAGAGAAACGCGTTCTGGGCTGTGCCCCACCAGGAAGACTTTATCAGTTCATTTTCTGATGCGATCATGAACTATCTAGGGTTGGGTACTTATAAAGAGAAGACAGTTTTAGCTCAGAGTTCCGGAGGCTGAACGTCCACAAGGCATAGTGTGGGTTCTGGAAAGGACCATGGACTTCTCCTCATTTTTCGCCCCTGTCTCCTCTGTAGCACTTGAACTAATCACTGCCTGTCTTCCTTACGGTTACCGCTCCAGTGTCTTTGGCCCTCTTGAGACAGTTTCTCCTCCGTTCCAATTCCTTCCTCTTGCCTGAAGCATCAAGTTCAGACTCTATTGACTGTCCTACACCTTGTACACAGCCCCAACCTCTTTGTTTGTTTTTTGAGATTTTTTTTTTATTTGTATCCGTGTGAGTGTGTGCCACGTATGTGTCTGTGCCCAACAAGGCCACAGGAGGGCATGGGACCTCCTGAAGCTGGAATGAACGGCAGAGGTTGTGAGCCATTGGTGTGAATACCGGGAACTTGAGCAGTGTGCGCCCTTAACCACCAAGCCTTCTCTCAAGCCCCTCCTCCTCCCGCCTATCTTCCCAGTTAGTTGTTTTCGTCATTCCCTGTCATGTGACCATCACGGCTTGTGAATTTAACTACCTCTGCTACAAATGTCTAGTTCTGCTATCCTAGAGCTGTGGACGGCTCTCTGTCCAGTCTCCTAACTCCAAGCTACCACGTTACCCCTCTGCCTCTGAGTCCTTTTAGCTCTCCAAACCTCTCTTATGAAAGCCTTTGCTTTGCAACCTAAAGCTGCATGTGCTGACAACGATAGCTATCCCGCAGTTGCGGATTTACTTGTTTTCCTGTCGTTGGGTTTTTGGTTTGGGGATATTAAACCCAGGACTTGGCCTGTGCTAGGCAAGGACTCTACCAGTGAGCTACACACCAGCCCTCTTTTATTAAAATCTTTAAATACTTTCCTGTGATTATTTCATTTTCCTTTTGAGACAGTCTTGCTAGGAAGCTCTATTCTGGAACTTGATATGTAGACCAGACTGGCTTTGAATTTACAAGGCCCTGATGTTTCTGCAACCCTAGCATCAGGCATGTTTTCTTGTCCAATCCTCCCGGTGAGTTCATGAGGTACAGGATTAGCCCTGTTTTGAAGGTTAGGAGGCCGGGGTATGAAGAGCTATGTAACTTGCTACATGAACTCAACACTTGTAGCCACCACTGCCTGAGACCCGCTCGTGGTTTCTTAGATTGGAAGCCCCTGCAATCTAATCGCTCCATCTTCACCATCTCCCAAATCCCTGAAGAAGGTCTGAAAGGAAGCACAGGACTTGTCAAAGCTCCCTTCCTTCCACCACTAATCCAAGAGATCAACGACTGTTATGTGGCAGTGTGCATTATGTTCCGGCCCAATTTTTCTCACTATTCTCCCCATTTTTTTTCCAGCCCCCTTTCGGGCCTCAGCTTGTACAGAAGACAGTGATATCAGGAGGGGTGGCTGGACCGCCCTCTTCGCCAAGAACTCCCAGAGGTCCTGGGAGCAGATGCCTGCCCAGTGTGCTCCAGTCCCGGCCCTCTGCAGCGGGCAAGCACTCAACACCACAGCTGTAACCTCAGGTTGCTTAGGGGAGCAGCTGTCTCCCAGCCGACATGAAGAACCAGACCTTTGATTATCTCCAGATGGAGTGCTGCAGCCTAGAAGCCTGGAAAGGATCCGGCTGTGGTCCACACTTCCCTTATCTTCCCCACACACCAACGCTCCTTTCGTCGAGAAGTGGGAAACAGTGTTAACTAAAAGCCAGTGTGGATGTAGTCCTGCTGAGAGACCCTCAAAAAAAAAACCCAGATTTTTCCGTTGACTTTTTTATTCCTCTCCATCTTTTAGAATAAGATTTTAGGGGCTGGAGAGATGGCTCAGTGGTTAAGAGCACTATCTGCTCTTCCAGAGGACCTGGGTTCGATTCCCAGTACCCACATGGCAGCTCACAACTGTCTGTAGCTCCAGTTCCAGGGGATCTGACATTCTCACATTGACATATACAGAGGCAAAAACACCAATGAATATAAAATAAGTATAAATAAGCACTTAAAGAGAAAGGTTTTAGGTTGGGCTGGTAAACACACAGTGACAAAATTGTTAAATTGCCTTTGAATCCCGAGCCAAGATTTAGATGTTATTTCTTATTTTATTTATTTATTTGGGTTGTTATTTTAAGACATACTTTCACAGTTTAGAGAAGCTTGTCTTCAGATTCTTGATTGTAAGTGTATATCACTACTACTGGCTAGATAGCTATATATATATATATATATTCAAAGCTTTCCCCCCACTCTTTGAGATAGTCTTTATAGTTCAGTCTGGTCTAGGACTCACTATATAGCCTAGGTTTGAACTTATGAAAATCCTCTTGCTTCAGCCTCCCAAGTGCTGGGATTATAGATGTGACCTACCAAACTCAACTAGACATTATTATTATTATTATTATTTTATTATTACTTTAAAAGAGGGTTTCTTTGTGTAGCTTTGGCTGTCCTGGAACTCACTCTGTAGACCAGGCTGACCTCGAACTCACAGAGATCCACTTGCCTCTGCCTCTCAAGTGCAATACCCAGCTAGACATTTTTGTTGTTGTTTGTTTGTTTGGTTGGTTGGTTTTTCACTTTTGTTTGTTTGTTTGTTTGTTTCAAGATAGGGTTTCTCTGTGTAGCCCTGACTGTCCAGGAACTCACTCTGTAGACCAGGCTGGCCTCAAACTCACAAAGATCTGTCTGCTTCTGCCTCCTGAGTGCTGGGATTAAAGGCGTGTGCCACCACTGTCCAGCTAGACATTATGTTTTTAAGACAAGGATTAATAAAAAAATGGAAGTGCATGCCCTATTCCTGGAAACACAAGCGTGATAAAAGTATCTGCAGACACGCACTGCAGCAGTGACTGGTTGAACTGCCTTTGTGTGGAAGGAACCTAATGAGTATCCATTGAATGAATACCACAAACGCTTACATTTGGGCTGTACCACTATAAAAAGTAGTTTTCACATTGATGGTCCTACTGAAGCTTTTGCTGTACAATGTAAAATGATTAGATCCATAAGTAAGTTATTTCCTGTTTTATAATCTTTAGTCTCTTACTCCCATAGAGATTCTAGGAGTATTTAGAGCGGTCAGAAGGAAAGCTTGTCTGTGCACATGTGAGACACTGACAGCTGTAAGTGGGTTGGGCTCCGCCAGGTGTGTGCTAAGTGTTCAGCACTTAGTGGGGTGTTAGAAAAGGAAAGGCAAGACTCTTAAGGCATCTGCCCTCTGAGAATGGTTAACTAATCTAACAAAGTAAGAAGTAGCCCAGCATTGAGCCAGACAATGCTCATTGTACATATCTGGATATTTACTTGAAAAACACACCTTTTGACTTCACAGGCCAGGAGCAAGACCACTTTGCCTGCCCCAGGTGTCCTAACCACAGTGCCTCACACTTCGCTGAGGTCTAGTACCATGGCCAGTTGCATGTGGCTTCTGACTGTTTTAAATCTAGATCGACAAAGTCAATCAGAAAATACATGTTAACACATGACTTGCTACGGAGGAGGTGGGAATGGAATCTGGTTCTGGAAACATCCCTTCAGGGCTTTGACCCCTAATCCTCACTGAAGCCATATGTGCAGGGAGGATCTGTGGTGGCCTAAGGTTTGGTCTGAATTTGAAATTTTTGTGGTTTGCTCTGCCAACCCACGCTTTCTTCTCAAGCAAGGACCGGTTTTGCACAAAATCCAAAAGCAAAGGAAGAGAAGGGATGAAGGTAGGGGGATGGGAGTGGGGGAGTGGGAGGATGGGGTGGGTGAGTGGAGGGGATGAAGGTGAGGGGGATGGGAAATGCGGTGGTGAGTGGAGGGATGGGGTGGGTGAGTTTGGGGATGGGGTGGTTGAGTGAGGAATGGGGGTGAGTGGGTTGGGGGATGGGGTAGGTGAGTGGG